CGTGTACCTTTAGTGTTCTTTTCGATACTACACGTTGAATCAATACTTTATACATACTTTGTTCAACGCTATGTGAGAAAGAGGTCTTGCTTACAAGATGAATAGCCAGTACAATATTATCTTCACTATTAGAAGTAATAGTAATGATAGAAACTCCCTGAGCTATTCAGGTATCAGAAAAGCAGCGGAGCTAAGGTCATTTCCTGTTGAAAGCCTATGTACAGAGGAGTAGGATCGTTATACAAACTAAGCAAACTATTTGAAAGTTTCTCACTTTGTATTAGCTGTCTGGATAGGAGGAGTGCTCGGGTTTCGGGATAAGATATCTATTTGGAGAATATTAATATATTTTCTTAATAGAAATATTGTGAGAAGTGTGAGTATTGATTACTAGGTACAGAATAGGCAAACTACAGGTTTACTGATGAGAAGGCAATAGAGGTCAGGGCAGGTGTTAGTGCCCCATGTGTCTGGAGAGAGAAGGGGTAAAGATGGGAAAAACAATTGTGAGGAAAACGAAAAAATAGAGTGGAGAATCAGTAATGTGCTGGGGGGCAATTGGATGGAATTGGAAGGGACTCTTTTATGTTCTGGTAAAGGAATCCAAGAGGAGAAAGTGATGACAGTTGAGAAAGTAAAGGAATAGAATAAGAAAGCTGTGGAGAAAGAGCAGGAGCTGAATACAGCTTAGAGGAGAACAGAAAAGTGGCAAAAAGTGCGGAAAGTAGTGTTAGCCGCACTGCAAGCAGCTAAAGCTCTCAGAAAGGTTGCTAATAAATATGGAGAAATCCTTCACCTACTGGTACAACAATCTTGGAGGGCAAATAACTTCAATATCACATCTGCTGTTCGGAATGATGTTAAAGGAATTGACTTCCACAGATATGTCACTCCCTTATGCAGACCACTACTTTGGCCAACCTGCTAGACTCTGTCCATCCTCAATCCTCACTTTCATCTAATGGTAAATAATGCCCCTTCCTACAATTCTGATTTTACAATTCCGAAGCTCATGAGGGAGAGTATAGCTAAGGTAGATTGGCCTCCTAACTCACCATACTTCAACTCAATAGAGTATCTTTGGACCCTAATGAAGTAGCAAATACTTCACCATTGTGGTACTGAAAGTATAACTATGCTCAGTGCAATGGAGTATATTCTTAAAGAAGAATGGGAAAAGACCATAATTGAAGAAATCGATTATGAAATTGTGAAGTTGCTGGATATTATGGTATGGTGTATGACCACTAAGGGGGGAAACAAGTTTCAAGCATAAATCATTTATACTTTAAATAGCTTCCTTATCTTTCATTTATATCTTCTTTTAATCTTACGCCTTATTTCATCTTAATCCTTTCTCTATACTCATTGCATCGCCATTTCCTTCCCAATATCTTGGCGCCAAGATTTCTGTTGACTTTTGAATCAGCCAAGTATGCCTTGTGTGTGCACGGACTGTACTGGAATTGACAGAATCTGGTCTTATCATTGCAGTGGAAGCTTACAGATGTAATTATTGCAATTGATGAAGTAAAGTGAGATAATAACGGAATACTGCTAAAGCTACAATATCTAAACATAGTTTCCATTCATTGTAGATAATTGATATTATTCTGAAAAATATATAAATAACAAGTTAACTGCTGGAGTTGAATTTGTAACAGCTAAAAGAAACTTTAATATCTACTTTATACCTGTTATCCAGATTACATAAGGCGTCACATTTTGCAACGCCATTGGTACAGGTTCTAGTCACTTCACACTATAACTTGTATTGTTTGCCAACCTAACCCAACATAACCTAATCTAACCCAACCTTACCCAACGTAACCTGACCTTGCCCGCCCTAGTCTGACTTGGCCTGGCCGGTGGTGGCACTAGTATCGATCGATTCTTACCATAATAGTATCATACGTAGTATATCGTATTCCCACCCGAGGAGCGCCGCAACAAGAGAGGAGCCTGGATAGAAGTAGGAGAACAATGTAGGGAAACAGCGAGCCAAAGCCAAAGATTAATTCCAGCCTGAATAGAAAGAATAAAGAGATGAAGTAGAAGACGGGGAAAGGAAGGGAAAAGAGTGGAAGATAAAAGACCACCGTCTACGCCATCCGTCTAATTGCCAAAACTCCCAAGTCATGAATAGTAGCCAACTCTGTCGTGGTTAATGATAAAACATGAATGCTTCGGAGAGGAAAAAAGTAGAAAAATGAATGGAGAACCGGGTAAAAAAAAGCAGATAAGATTTCGTGAAAGTCATCCCGTACTCCGAACCATAGACCGTTATGCCCCCATCACCTAATATACACGGGTTTATATGCATCGATTTTTGAAATGAAGAAAAAGAAGGAAAAGGGTGGGATAGGATTCGCGACTCAGAACAAAGAGAAACCTCTGCCGTAAGCAATATAATTCTAGGAGTAATCGAAAGATTAGAGCAGACAGCGCCCGCTTGCTAGGTATTGACTAGAGGTGAGAGGGGTGTGAGCCGAGTCATGGAAAGGGGAAATGACTATGATTCAAGAGGAGACCTGGGTTCCTTAGAGTGGTTTGGAGGCAGGCCTGTGAGATCAGGGTGTGATTGGGTGAGAGTTTTATTGCAGGATTCATCAGTAGGTTCAGCTTGCGACTCGTCATCAGCAATAGCGCAAGATATCTCATCGTCCCTGCGTTTGTAGAAAAGAAGGTATGCCTTTGATTTTGCAACAGACTCTGAAGGAACCTTGGTGATTCGATCGTCGTCTAGTAGCCACCATTCTTCTTGGTGCTTCGTATAAGCGACATAATGTCCAAAGTTGGCGCTTTACTACGTCAGCAGATGAAGGAAGGAAGGTGCTAGATTTGATCATACCCCGTCCCCTGGTGAACAACTACGGCGTAAAGATCATATAAAATCGGGCTATCGACATCCCGCTCGCACCAGGCCCCCATGTCTAGGCCTGCTAGAGGGAATCTAACATGAGTGTCTACTTTCTGCTTGCCCCCTCGTATTTTGTGGGTTCTCCAGCGGAATCGTTTTAAATGGATACAGAGAACATGAGGCAATACTCCGAAAGCAATCGACTTCGAGAAGGCTGCCTCGGACCCACAGGACAAGCAGGAGCGGGTGGTGCCGTTTGTCGGGGCGGGAACGGATGCAGGTGGGGGAGAACCCTCAAGCTCCTCAGTTGTAGCAAACAAATTCAGGCATTCCTCAAGGGTACTTGAGCGCACATCACCCTTCGTAACGGGTGACAGCTGTTCGGGAATAACCAGACTGAGGTCGAGAAAGGGATCAGGCTTGATAGTGTATTCCGAGCAAGAGTGACATATTATCTGATGAGTCCTCGGGTTAGTAAAGGTGCAGACAAGACAAAACAAAGGGGTTGGCACCTTGTTCCACAGTATACCTCCAAACACAGTTTGCACAATCGTGTCCTCCTCCTCAATCTGCTCAGACGCAAGTTCATCTTGCATTCGTTCAAGGGAGCACTGAGCCGTGGTTAGTGGGGGCTGCTTCACCTATGTTGAAGCAAACTTACCCGAAGAAACTCTTGGGCGTCCTGCTGTTCGTGACGCTCATGGAAGGAGGGCAATACTGTAGCCACAGCACTAGCAAATTTATGAGGCGAAATAACTGGCGATAGATGGAGGGTGGAACGGCGTGCACGGGGTACTGTGCGAACTTGTGCCGGGATGCGATTAATCCACATCATCTTTAACAATCGAGAAAACTCGTCGCAAAGATTGCTACACGCGAGTAAGCTACTATGAATCATAAACCATTCCTCCGAAGATAGGAGAAAGCGGATAGAAAGGGCGTAAGGAGGGAGGAGGCTCGCACATATTGGGGGGAACTATAACCTGTTCCTCTAGTCTTGCAGCCCTACGAGTTCTCGGCCTTGCTGTGTGTAAACTTAGGGTAGCAGCTGAATCGCTGCTACTCATGCTGGCATCCGATTCCTCGGTAACCGGCGGCACTCGTTGGAGGAAATATTCTCGGAGGGCACAGGTATGGCTCAACGCTTGGATCACAGCGTTGTTGTAACAAGTGTTTCCAAGATTCTTCAAACCAACCACCCGTATACGTTTTCTTGACGACTCCAACGAAGTATCATTTCCATAATCAAGAATTTCCGCCTCTTTTGCAGAACGTTTATTTCCTTTCGAACAAACCTTTCTCGAGTATGTTATCTTGGGCAGGCTGTGCATTCCTTTTGGTGAATGTCTATCCAGCATAACAGGTGTGCCGCTAGGGCTACCCTCCCGTAAACTAGACAAAAATGAATCCCCAGTTGAAGAAACGTCTCCATCCTCCAGGGTAGCAAGTGACTCTGGCGGAGACAAAGTAAACGACGGCCTTGAGGGGTTGCCAAGGGCAGGGGTAGACAGGTCGTCCATATTTCCTACTGAGGAAGCCGAAGATTTGAAGGCTATTGATGGTGATGGTGACGGGAGCGAGCGTACTGCTTCGGGAAAGACAGAGGTTGGAGACATGGTAAACGGGCCATTTCCTCTCATAGACTTTAAATCGGTTTCGTCAGCAGTTGTTTCACGTTTCCCAAAATCGGGAAATATTTCCCACACCTTGTGGAGTTAGTAGAATTTGGCAAATGTGAGAAGGGATGGAAAGGATGGGAGTGTCAAACATTGAAATTCATTGTCCGTGGCTAGCCCTGATCGTCCTCAGGGTCTCCGAGGTAGATTCCAGGGAAAGCCTTTTGCGCAAATAGGATGGTACGCGCAGGGCGACGCTCTCCGTTGGATTTTTTTTTCCTTTCGTTGACGTTTTTTCCCGTTTCCTCCTTTCGTTGTTTAGAAAGTTGGGAGGACGCTACCTAATTAAGGGTTGTAAACGGCGAACCGGAATGGCTCGTGGGAGAGGATATGTAATGGCACGGTAACAGGGTCAGAAAGCTGTGCAGATTGTAAATTCTAGACAAATCGGGACGAAATTGTTAAATTCAAAACAAAAGAGTGGTTATAGGTACCAGTAGGCGAAACCGGCAGGCGACAGGAAATCGGTACAAGGTCTTATCGTATCTAGGTAGAAAAAAAGAAAAGAAGAAAAGAGGGAAAAAAGGTTGGAGGGGCGTGTCTATGTGTGTGGGTTGCGGAAGGTATTGGAGTACGAGTACCCGGAGCGTTCTGAAGCCAGACCTAGCCGGGAGAGACAAGACTTTCTGCTTCTTCTTTGTTGCTTGTGGTGTCGTTGATGCTTGTCGATTGTCTCCCGATTCCTGGGCTCACCGGCCCACTCCACAGCCGGCACGAAGTCGGATGGTCAATTTTTGAAGATTGCGAGAGCGTTCAAACGGCTAAGGACGCGAGTTGATGAATTGAGGAGAGTAGAGGATTGAAGGAAATTAGGAAAGGTGGGTAAGGTTACAAGGTGCGAACTGTTTGGGAAACTTTTTGGGACAAAGATATGGTACGAGAAGGGACGAATGAATTAGGAGTCGAAAACCGGTACCGTAGGGTACAGTATCATACTATACAAGCGTGTTATTTACAGATAGGCGGCCAGGCAGCCAGGGAATTAATGATCGGCTATGGAATAGACCCGGAGCAGGACTAGTTCTGGTGGGGAAGAAGACCTACTGTACGAGTAGTGGTGCTTTGGACAACTCGCTGGATCCATAACTTCTGCCAGGAGTTCATGGAAACCCGATAGAGCAATGTTTGGTTCTTAGAGACCTGGTGTATGATGGTTATGTAATCCCAGTAGGTATGTTATGGGGGTTTACCCTGATGTGTGGGAGTTTTCCTTTCCTGTATTTAAGCAGGAGCAAATCGGTCACGGACCACTAAGTTGAACACATTCTCTCTTGCCTCCACAGGAGTGTTTTCCTCCACACGAGACAACAACCCGCTGCGTACGTTCGCTATCAGTGTATCCATCGGAGGACAGCCGGCTGGTTGTCTGCAGAACAAGGGGATGCGCAAACATACGATACAAAATTGGTGCGCGGTTCCGCGAGAGTTTCCTCTGTCCTATTGTCCTATTTACGGGATCTTATCTCGTATTTGTTTAGCTTTCTTGTGATTCAACCGATTCAACTGTACAAGTACTGCACAAGTTGATATAAATAACGACCTAGGTTTCGCGCTCAAAGTAAGGAACCTCCTAATAATTTAGAGGTTCAATCAGAGATCTACTGGTTAGATACGAACCACCTCGCTGGACTTCTACCTTGCCCTCGAGTGTCTTCTTGGCGTGTGCGATTGAGACACTCTAACCACAGAACAGATGTCGTAGCGACACTGGATCGGCGGAAAGGGGGTAGGGGCAAGGTGAGAAAAAGAATAATGATCGAACTGCGAGGGTACAGTCGTGTCCGTAAAGTCTTCATACCCCGGCGGCGCAACCACACAACCACAACACCTTTCCATGGAAAATTGAAAAAAAATTCAAACAACTCAATTAAGAAAAGTATATGAATAGAACTAATAAGCCTTAAGAAAATATTATTATCACTTTGTATGACCACCATCTGCATCTAGTACAGCCTGTATTCTCTCATGCATCCTATCTATCCACCCATCCAACTTCTCTTGGAAAATTAAATCCCATTCCTCCTTTACTGCCTGAAATAATTCAGCAGCACTGTGAGGCCTCCTATCCAACCTGGAGAATCGATTTCTGAGGGCTCTTTTGAGCAGAGCCCAAGTGTTCTCAATAGGATTGAGATCTGGTGAGTTGGATGGCCAAGGCAATTTTTGATAACCATAGTCTGACTGCAATTTTCTGTTTTCCTCACTACCATGCCAGGAGGCATTGTCTGCTGCTAGGTAGATGTTGTCAGAAGGTCTATCCAGACCATCTATAAAAGGAATGAGGTATGGCTGGTGGATTTCAGTTGCATATTGGTGGAAATTGAGGCCAAGTCTGTCTCTTTTGCTGGTCCTTTCTTCCTCCCCCCTCTTCCTAACAAGAATTAACTCAGTCCTGCTACCCTTCATGATTGCAGCATAGACCCCAATACTAGTCCTCCGAGACTTAAAGCTAGGCTTCAAGTTTTTTTCTTCCAGCTCTTCACCAGGTCTAACTCTGACCTTCCTGCCAGTAGGATGTGAATCATAGATAATAGTGGCTTCATCCACAAAAACAACCCAATTCCATGCACTCCTCCAATTCCTCCTTCTCCTAGCAAACTCCTTTCTCTTCTCCTTCAGTCCTTTCCTCCAAAAAGGTTTTTTTCTAGGTATCAGAAGCTTAAAACCAGCTTCTGATATGATCTTATCCACAGAGGTCTTTCCCAGACAAATATTCACTTTTTTGGTAATGTTGCATAATGCTAACTGAGGCTCGACATTGATAATGGACTCCACTATCTTTCTTTTTAGAGGGGTATTTGTTGTTGGTCTTCCAGATCTGGGGGCATCATGGGTATTTCCATCTCTTGATTCAGCTCTTTTGACTACTGATTGAACAGTTGCCTTAGAGATACCCATAACCTTAGAAATTTTATTATACACCATATCAGTATATTTATACAGGGCATAAATTTCCTCATTTTGGTCTTTTCTAGCTCTTCAGGTATGTGGGGGGATCAGGGTAGAGGCGGTTGTTGTGGGGATGGAGGACAACACCGTTACCGCACCGGGGTATGAAGACTTTATAGACACGACTGTACTGCAGAGGTACAGCGTCAAAGTATCGTATACAGTCGTACCTCGCTATTCCAGATGGCCAAATTTCACGGATTTCATTCGGGACAATGGGGTTTCCGGAATAGTGGTGTCTCATGAATAGCACAAATAATGCAGAGAAAAAATAAAGCTCGTTTATTACCATTCTCTTGCGAGGCAAGCAGGGAAAAGGATGCTGTGCCAAGAGGTGGCACAGTTAATACTTTTGTAAAGCTGTTAAGCTGGACTTTTTAATTGACTTTGTCATAGGCATTATTTAAATTGAATGAACAGAATATAGACAACCCCCAGCTCAAGAACTCAATCCTCTGTCTGCGAAGTCCAGAGGTGTGTATACTAGAATCCTCCTACCCTTTCCAAGTATTCTCTTTCCCTTCCTTTCTTTGCTCCTAAATTTCTTTAGCCATACTCTTTCCTTCGAGCTTAGTTCAACTGTTAGTTCTAGTGGGATCTGACTTAGCAGATCAACTTTCTAAGAGGACCAGGAGGGGGGGTATGCCTCTAGATATCATACAAATCCAAAACTTTCCTCTTTCCAATTTAGCGGGGCCAATTAAATAGAAGTGCAAAGCTACAACAGATTTTGTCCAGTTCAGCGCGGTATCCAGTTCAGCGTGTTCCAAGATAGAGAGGTGCGACTGTAGTTTACTAGCAGGAGGTGTTCAGCTAATAAGGATGAGGAGTGTATTCGTTATAGTGTCAGTAGTTTGAGCTAATATTATAAACAATTTGTATTATAGATCCAGGAGTATATGGTTAATATTTTATAAAAAGCCCATTGGCATTAATAACTGCTTAACATCTGGCCAGCATACTGTCTATGTTAGACGGAGACAATCTGATAGACTTCAGAATTGTCTGGACTAATCAAGATTCGTTTCCATAGATGGAGATTGTCTAGAAAGGCTCGAGTTTACTCATTTCATTTACGATTACTAAGAGTGAAGTAAATTCAGTAAAGTAAGATAGAATCGTAAAACAATATTGTATTGTTAAGATCTCTTCTCTGTTGCTTGATGATATCTAAAGCTTGGCAGGTACTTTGATATTTATATTCTGCATCTGAGTGTTCACGGACTACATCTATTTATCATACAGCTATGTAGCTCTCTGATTATAACTCATAAAGTCAAGTATTCTTGAAAGGTGCGAACACCTGGAGACCCTGAAAATCACACCACCACCCTCTGTGGCAATTATAATATAACTAACTCGGAACCATATTGTTCCCAATAGTAGTTATTTGATAGTTAGAGTCATTAGACCTGTAGCCTAGTTCTCAAGTTGCACGGAGTTGGCCTCAATCATCTCTGTCAATGATGAAATGAGCAGTTTCATCTGCAGGTTGCATCTATCAAGGTAGTCGTAATTACAATCTTTTTTAGGTTGTCTGAATTTAAACTTTCATAACTTCTTATCCCACTGATAGATATCTTCTGCAGGAATTCCTACTAATTCGTTGAAAGCTATTCCACCTGATTGACAAATATTTCCTTGGTTGGCAACTCATCGTTGCTCACGATAATAGGGTTTTAATCACTGTGGTAGTATTTGGGAGTTATTCTTATAATTACAATGTATTCAGAAACCAATTTGCAACACTCAGTGAAGTCCGATCGGTTCTATAGTAGTGTCCCTCGTAGTTCTAAACTCTTCTGAATATTGTAGAGTGGATGTGAATGTATTGGTCTCTTGCTGAGATTCTTTACCATTCAGTACCATCTCTTTGTATAAAAGTATCTTCTTACCTATGGCTCCTGCCAAAGTTATTACATCCTTGAAGCTTAGTAACCTTCTGGGTCATTAACAGATTTACTCAGTTCTACTTCTCAGACCTAGCTGAAGGTTCTCCTACATGTATACCACGAACTGGATCTGGTTAGATGGACAGCAGCGACGTATATGGTGTTATACTGAGACCCTTAATTTTGCGGTATTATAGTCACAGGACGCAATTGAGATTATTATGTATAATAATGTGAGAGCCCTGTAAGGGGGTAGAAGGGGGTATTGGAGACCAGAGATTCTGATTCGGGGTGATGATACCCTACTTACAGTGACTCCTAGGTATCGGATCCCCATATTCCTAACCTTCTAGCAGCAATTTAAACTCAAATGGTCTAACTGTTATGCAAACCACATTAACAGCATTTCTAACAATCCTACACCTTTAATGTTAGTACCTCAACAGGTAGCATACTAATACCTTCATTCTTCCTTCTCAATAGTTTTTAGATAGTTGTTTACATTACCATCAGAAATAACATCTATTATCATTTTTTTATCATTACGTCTAACTCATTAGTTGAGACCTCTTGGTAACATATGGTTATAGGAGATGTAAGCAGTTTTTTAGAGTATACATTCAAACTTATTATAGACTACGTGAGTTATAATATAGGATAAAGGATTGATATAGCATCAGATAGTATTAAGTAGAAATGGCAAGTCCTA